AGAGAAAGACAAATGTCTCACAAACAGAGCTCAGAGTTGTGAATGAATAAAGCAATTCAGCAAAAGCTAAACTCTATTTTAGGTCAGTAGTACTTCCAATCAATTAGTATTTATTTATTTATTTATTTGGTTGAGAGTAGAAAGTTGTGAAGGCATGACATTCAGTTTTCTCTTTACTTGTTTTTTTTATAATATTGGAAATGATGATGAAAATATTGATAGTAATAATTATAGCTAAAGCTCATTGAGCATGCACTAGTCAGATTCTGTGCTAGTCACTTTTTTTTTTAATACAACCTATGCGCTCACTGGAGAGATAGAGACAGAGAGACATAACTCTAGAAATTACCCCCAAGAAGTGATGGCCACACCACAATACTTTCATCATTTTTTCCTCTGGAATTTGGGCACGCATGCACACATGAGGCTTTCTTTGTATTTTTTTTTTTTAATTTTTTCCCCAGCGTGAGTTTTAAGCCACTGGGTCCAGGATTCTAACAGTGGTTGACTAAGTGGAAGTCCAGCGCTGTAACTATTACATCATCTGCTGGTCTCTATGCTAGTCACTTTTACTGAGATGAGAGGAAAGATATTCAGCAACTAACTGAAGTCCTGGTTGACCAGATGATCTGCCCCAAGGTCCAGGGCTCTTTCACTCAACCACAAAGCTATTCAGTCACTGTCTGAACCAGAGCAAAATAAAACCTAGACACTCAGGGCCTTCACAGAAAGAGCTAATCAAGGTCGAACATTGTCATCAAGACCATTACACAAGTTTCATTAGATGAGATAGAACTTGATACATTACTAACTCTGAAACATGCCACCACATGTTTCCTCCTAGTCATGATCCACAGCTGCCTCCCATCAAAGTGACCAGACGCATTAGTTTTCTAATGCTATGTTAAAATAACAGCATTAAAGCAGAAACAATCTCAACCTCCAAGGTAAAACAAATCCTTCTCAGTAAATGAGAGTTTACTGACATTTTACTTAGCGGATTCAGATTCTTGAATGTTGGTCACCTTTTAGGACATTTACACCTTCCAGGAATGATCTCACTCCAATTTAATTCAGGTGTCTATGTGATTCAGGCCTAACAGGGTGTCAAAGAAAAATTACACCAGACAGAATTTAATAAGCAAAGACTTTATTCGAGATTATTACAATAGGTAAGAGATATCAAACTTAACTCTGGTGAACACTGGGAAGGATTTTTTTTAAATGCTTGTAAGAATTATTTTTTAATTCTATTAATTATTTTTTTTAATTTGCTATAGGGCATGTGCACTCACCAGAGAGAGAGAAAGAGAGATAAAGTGAGAAAGACGGGAGGGATTTTAAGAGCTAGGGTGAGTAGTGGAAAAGTACTAGAGGATGTTAATGGGGAGGTTGGCGGATGTGATTAGGCCATCTGCATTTGCTAGTTGTCACTAATCTAAAATAGGCTTCTACCCTCTCACAGAAACTAGGAGCTGAAGGGTTGCCATTTGATCATTAAATGTCTAATAGATGGCTCCCAGATCCTTGAAAAAGACATCACTGGGTTGTAAAACTGGAAAGAGCCTGGGAAAAGATTTACATCTCTAAGAAGCAGGGAAGGAACTTATATTGCAAGTTTTCTACATTAAACACTTTCAGAGAAGTCAGAGGCCCACAGTCAGACAAAGCTCTTACAGTTTTGTCAAGCTGAGGGAATTATTAAGACCATTTTGGATAGGAGGTAGATTTATTCCTCTACACACTCAGTGGTGACCTACAGTTTGTGAACCATAACCATGAAATCTCTGCCAGCAAAAGTGATTTATTGCTTCTTTCTCACAGAGCAGAGAACTGGCCCAAGTACCTGTGACTAACCATAGCTCACCCCTCCTTACCTGAGATTAATTGGGATGAATGTGTTCTCCACTTAACTGATACAATAGATGCAGTTTCTCTTTAGAATCTGTCCAGAGAACTGCTATGAGCTGCATTTTCAACAAGTCAAGGGTTGTAGAAGGTACAGTGACTTAACTTGACTCATAACTAAGGGAACTTTGAGATACACTATCGTCTAACCAACCAGACCAGACAATGTCTACATGCTTCTAAATCCACTAGGAGAGAAACTGTACAATCTCGTACAGATCTTTTTTCGTTCCCTTTATGCTTCCCTTTTGCCCTTCCTTCTTACTTTCTGTATTTACCTAGTAGTCACCCACTATGTGCCAGATACTCTGTTATGAATTCAACTGAGAATCAGACACATTATCCCTTGCCCCTATGGTGTTATAGATTTGTAGGGTTTTTTAATAAGAATTACAAATTGTCCAAGATTAAAGAAGAAGTGACCAATACTATGAAAGAGAGGAAGAGAGGACTTGGGAGTTTAATTTAATCTCACATGTGTGTGTATGTGTGTGTGTGTGTGGGGGGGGGTAGAGGGATAAATAGGGATGACTTCCTTTAAAAAGCAGTGTCTGAGCTGAGACCCAAAGGATGAGTGCACATTTGTAAGACAAAGAGAGGAATTGATATAGACAGTTCCTGATAGATGATCTAGCATACAAGAAGGATCACAGCACATTTAGGAATTTAGAAAGAGTCAGCATATCTAAAACACAGAGAGAAGTGTGGAGTGAGATGGTGGTGGGGCATAGATTCCAACCTAGAAACCGTTAACTTGAGAACCACGAAAGTCCTCATTGTTATAAGCTGATTACTCAATAAGGCCATTCAGCTCTCCTCCCTGACAGCAAATGATCTGAGGATTATTCAGGTAAATCCTCTGATCACCAGCACTGAATAGGATGGTCAGTTTATTTAGCTTAAAAAAAAAAAAATAAAAGACTGACTTATTCATCTTTCCATGTACTCAGACTACTGCTTACAAAGACTCAGTTTAATCATCTACAATTAAATTTATTTATATTTATATCTTAACTACATCTACAGTAATTTGGAGATTTGAGGTGTAGCTCATGTCATGATAAAAAGAAGAATAAAAATAAAACTAGTTAACCTCTCAAGAAATTTTGCCTATGAGTAAATATTTAAAATCGAAATTACTTATAATTAAAAGAAGATCATTTCTTTTTAACGCAAAGGTTAGACTTGAAGTTCCCAAGGTTTAATGTTATGTGGGATTTCTTTTGTTTACAGTCTACATAAGAACTCACAATCTCACCATTTAAAAATGTGTACAAAGGAATTGAACAGTGGTGCAGTGGTAAAATGCTATGCTTTGGGAGGTTAATCTACGTAGGAATGTTCTGGGTACACCCACAGAGACCTGAGTATGCCACGCATGTGTGTTTTTATGAGCTGGGGTTGGCTCAAGCTAGGGGTGGATCACAACATCAGGATCATGCTGAGGGGTGATAACTCTGTCTGTCACAACATCAGGACCATGCTGAGGGGTGATAACTCTGTCTCTCACATCAGGACCATGCTGAGGGGTGATAACTCTGTCTCTCTCTCTTTGTGTCTTATTCATAGAAAAAAAATTAATAAATACAAACTTAAAAATATAATTAGAGATTTTTATGATGTTTATTTACAATTTTTTTTCTTTAAATTATGCTCACTTTGTAAAGGTAAATATCTAATCCTCCTTAAAAGTGTCAATGCTAGAAGCAAAGAAAAGTGTGACTGCCTACCTGAGTCCACCAGCACCAAAAGGCACATGATAGGAGTCAAGATTTGTCTGAGAACATAGACTGATGTTCAGTCATATGGGCTGACAGTCTAGAGTCCTAAATTCCCTTGGCTTTTGATCAAGGCCTTTTACCACACTATAGGTGACTCCCCTTTTAGAAGTTAAAGTTGGTATTGAGTCTAAGAGGTCACATAATCAAAGAGAAGCAGAGTTTGACAGGCAAAATATTCAAATAGGATAACTTGCCAAATATCTTTTAAACAGTTAGTTGTTGAAGTTCTGTATGAGAACTAATAAAAAAAAAAGACATTGAAAATCATTTTTGGAAATTTTTGTTTTTTACATGTTTAAATCATTTCATTTATGCATTTAATGCATTTATAGAGAACTTAAAAGGATTTTTGCTGTTTAGTTGTATTGGAGTTTTGTGTGAGGAGACTGTTTTGTTGATTGTCTGTGAAGTGCACTTTAAAGCAGGACATCAGCAGCTCATTTGATTCCTGGTGTGGGATCTTTCTTAGATGGAGGTGCTGGTGTGGACCATGTTTGACCTGAGATAACCTACAAGCAACTGGTCTCCCTCTCTGGGGTGAATCTTGCCAGGTTGGGCAGTGTCCCAGCCATAGACAGTGCTGGGCTCTGGGAGGCACACTTACAGCCTCTGGTATTTTCTTCACTCCATCTGTTTCCCAAGTGTAAGTTCCTTTCCCTAGCCTGGGTCTGGAAATGACTGCACATTGCAGAGGAACAGGGGGCCACATAATAGAAGTCCCAGGCACTTCTCACATACACAAAATCCTTATTTCCTATCTTCTCTCAATATTTTTAGACAGCAATTCTTCGAAAGGCTATTCTTTTCCTAAAAATCATTGTTCTATTCCCTGTAAAATTTCATATGATAAACTTAAGTAATAATAAGATTTCTTCTACCTAATAAATGCTCGTATTGACAGAAAATACTATTTCTACCTTCACCAATTATACTTTGATAGAAATTGCATGAATGCTACTTTTGCATTATATGATTTAAACTAATTTAATGAACAAATTGATAATCAAAAAACAAAAACACAAAATTTTAATTTTTAAAATTATGCAAAAACATTTTAGAAAATCCAGTTTCATGCCAGCAGGTGACATGGAGGTTAAGGTGGCTGAATCCCACATGACCAACAGCATGGTTCAAGTTTCAACTCTTCCTGGAGAGGTTGGAGGATTCGGGATTGTACATGGCCAACCCCCAGTGGGGGTGACTGTCATTTTCTCTCCTTTCCCTTTCTGTCTCTCTTGTGCATGCACGTGTGTGTAT